TTTAACCGAAAAACCGACCTGTACGTTCTTTAAAAAGGCAAATAAGAACCGTAACGTTCGTAAAAGAAAAGTGGAAAAGTCGGATAGTGAGGACGATGACGAAACCACGGTTATCAGAAAAGAGAAAAGGACAATTTCTAACCCCATGTTTCAGAAGACTGAAGGATTCGGTTCGAAGTCAAAACGTGAAGCAGACGAAGAAGATATCGATGTATCATTTAAGTCGACTCGTTCTGCTATGAGCATTGGTCCGCAGGATCTTGGTGCAACGGCAACCGTGGAGATTGATACAGAGTTTGATCGGGATGCCCAAGCTCTGTTTGAGAAAAAATTAAAGACGAATGAAGAGGTAAAAGAGCAAGGAAGCAAGGATGACAGGAAATACCGAGGGTTAAATAATTACATGACTTACTATGAGAAGAAAGGAACTGCACAGGGAAATGCTTCCAGTGGAATGGTCAGGTAATTAAAGTTCTTCTACTTTAAATGGACACTTACGACGTGAGCATGAAGGCGAGGTCTATAAGAGCAAATTGCAGTTAACTGAATAAAGAGGCAGGCAAGGGTACCCTAAAAGTATAGCAAAAAATAGTTCTCACAAATGCTGTACTGCTGTGCTTTGTAATAATCATTCTGATAACAGGAGAGACTTGACGTTTCATGTATTTATTTTCTGAAGGATCCTTGCCGAAGGTTAGTTTTTTTACTGTCCACTTTCCAACACACATTCATTTGCCGCTCTATTTACTTTTTTGAAGTTCGCGGGAAATGTGGTGGCACCTAGGCCTCGCTGTTATATACCCTTTCACCAGTTTTCCAACTTTTGACATGGACCAGTTGGAAAAAATCCATCAACACCGCTGGAAAGAACACTTTTAAATCGGAAACTTAGCTAGATTGAAAGTGATTTGTTGAAAATCAATGAAGATATACAATCAGTGTCTGCCAATATTGCTGTAACACAGTGCCCCCCAATTCAAGGTTGGAGTGTTTGCCTGATGGCGGATACTCTTACGTCTGTTGTCTTTGAGGCGATTGAGACAGTTATATGGAAACTGCCAATCGCCCCAGTCATCCAGATCATCTCGAATTTTTTTGAAGTGACTGAGACGATCCTGACAATCTGAATGATCATATGGAAACCAGGCTTAAAAAGTGACATCTTTCTGGAGCTATAAGTTCGCACTCCTCAGACATACAGTGCATCACTTTCACAAACTGTTGGAATTAAGCTTTGTGTGATATGAGCCTTCCATACAACAATCACATCTTTCTCAGGCACACTTAAGTAACTCTCCATCAGCTTCATAAGAATCTACTTACCGGTAATTTCTTTCAGACAAGGACCAATCAGGGCACCAGCAAACCTTCGTGCAACAGTTCGCTGGGATTATCAACCGGACATCTGTAAAGACTACAAGGAAACAGGTTTCTGTGGCTTTGGTGATAGCTGTAAGTTCATGCATGATCGCAGCGATTACAAACATGGCTGGCAACTAGAGCGAGAATGGAAAGAAGGGAACTACAGCAAACAAGACCCTCATGCATATGAAATTGACAGCGATGATGACGATGATCTTCCATTTGCATGTTTTATTTGCCGAGAATCTTTCAAGAATCCAGTTGTTACAAAGTGCAAACATTACTTCTGTGAAGCGTGTGCTCTTAAGCATTACAGAAAAAGCAAAAGGTGTTATGTTTGCGGTGTGCAAACCAATGGAGTTTTTAACCCTGCAAAGGAACTTATAAAGAAACTGAAAATTTTAGAGAATGAGGAGAAGGAGAAGGACAAAGAGGATGATGACGAAGAAGACTACAAATAATAAGGAGTATAGATTAACAGCATGTTTAATCCTGAAATAACATTTACAATAAATTGAACTCTCACAGCTCACCACCCAAAGGCAAACCACTCCTACACCGAACCGGAGAAAACAGCTGACATTTCATAACAACACCAGTAGTTATTTCCCCATGAAGTAACATCTGACAAATGAGCACAGAAATTCTGCACTGATAGCCTGCGTAGCGGTTACTGATGACATGTCATTACCCAGATCTGGGTAGTGCTTCTGATTGGTTGTAGCAAATTTCCCATGCATCACAAACAATCATAGGCACTACCCAGATCTGGGAAGCAACATGTCATCAGCATGGAATTTCTGCACGTGGTGGAGTCACAAAATGCTGGCTGTCTCCAGTAGCAGATCCAGGAGAGGGGCCCAGGGGGGGCCACCCCCCTCCCGTTATTTTTAGACCAAACTGAGGTCCAAAGGGCAGAAATATTTTTTGTTTTAGCCCCCCCCCCCCCCCCCCCCACCCCCATCTTGGGGTCAGGGTGACCGGGCCCTCCCTTATCTGAAGGTCTGGATCTGGATCTGGCAAACCTAGACAACCTACGGAGCTTAACCTCTGGTTAAGTCTTTCTGCAAAACATTGTTGAAATCCTTGTTCAAGGCCCCTACCTGTGTACCTGGATTTGAGTACGCACCATGATTGGCCTGTTTAAAATGCCACTGTCTATTTGCCAATCAGGACAAAAGGAAATTCAAAACGTATTTCTGGTAATTCATTGAGTCCAGTATTGGCCTTGAACAAGGATATTGGTGCTGCTTTGCTGATGTTGCTTACTAGGATTAGATTACATCTGTAGCACTCATTACACTCACCAGCAAAAGTGTTGAAATACTGTCATGAAAAGGGGTACATTTTCAGAAAAAATCTGGACTTTCCCCCCCCCTCCACCAAATTTTTGTTGTTGTTTTTGTCTCCTTTTGGCCATTTTCAGTGCTAAATGCAGACCTTGAGATATAAGGGGGGCGGGGGGCAGTCATTCAGTCACTTAGAAAAGGGGCCCAGTCTCCAAAAATTTTTTTCCAGTCCTTCGGGCCTTGGGTTGGTCTAAAAATGGGGGGGGGGGGACGGGCCCCTCCCCTGGATCCACCACTGATTTTTAAATGTGAGAGATGCTGTTTTCAAACAGCATCTCAACATTGTTTTTAAGGGGTAGGGGAAGGAAGGCTTGTTTCTCCTTGATGGAGTCTAGAAACATGTATTGTTGGCAAAATCCAAACAATTTTATTAAGGACAAAGTGTATCAAATAATTTTTTCGGTGATCATTGGTGGTTACTAGTCAAGAATTCTTGCTTAGGTTTGAATTAGTGACCTCAATACAGTTTTTAAATATCAAATATTTCATCACTCATTTAGATAAACTAGGTAAACTCACTGGAGCTGTAGTCAATGATATTCTGCTTGCTTCTTGTTAAACCCAGGGGGAATACTCCGGATTTCAAGTGACAGAGATGATTGGATGAAGGCAAAAATCAACAACCAAAAAAATCCGCAGACCAAAAAGTAATCCCCCAATAAGCCCATGCCGAATTGATTAATTGTGTACTTATTAACTGGTTTGATGACACAGATGCAGTGTTGTGTGTTAAATATTGTTCTTTGTTCGCAGAACTACACAGTTGGGATATGTGGGCTTTAGCATGAATCTTCAGATTGAATTTATGCTACCCAAAAAAATCCCTGAATCAAAAATTTCAAACCCAACAAATCCTTCGATCTTCTTCGTCACTTGAAATCTGTAGTACCCCTTGGATCTTTAAACAGCAATCCATAATCCCATTGGCATTTTGTTGCTAGGAAAATTATAGAGCCTGCAAAGTACCTCAAATGGACAGTCCCTCAAATGCGATCAAACTCCTGTTGATTTGTTACAATATCAAAATGTAAATATTTTTTTGGTTGAATATTCCATCTGTTGGCAAGTGCCTGCAATATACAAGCAAAACTATCCAAAGAAAAAAATAAATATAAAAGACAAAAGCTGCTTGAATGACATGAATCAGAATGAATGACAAGAAGTCAATAAAGTACTTGAATGTGATTGGTTGAAACATTGTCGCGCAATTTGTGGAGTATTGAATTTCATTGTCCTTTATCTGTTCAAGCTGCAAACTCCAGACAATCGGAAAACATTTCTCGCTGCGATGTTGAAAGTGTCCCTGGCCGTGTTTAGAAAATAAGAAATAACTAAATGTAAGATAATACGATTAGGAACGAAACAGAAAGGATATTCTGACAACTGGAATGATTTTTGTTGTTGAACATTGATTTGTCCACTTCGTTCGTTTTGGTTGTGTCCCCGCAAATGCGAACAGTTAGAGAAAGAACTGGTGCTTGTTACAGGTCTATAAAGGCTATCTAATGATAGCTTATAAGAAGGTAAGTGCATTTTAATCTTTTGCCGCTAAAGCAATAACGTTTCTCGTCTTAATAACCTCTTCTATCGCTCTTGAATTATTGTGGTGTGAATCAATATTGTACGGTTTGATCAATTCAGCACAGACGTAAAGTTGACCCGGTCAAGCAGATCTTGGCTAGAATCGACGAGAAGCAAAGCAAGGTAAAAGGAAACCTATCATTAAGCATTTTATATATTGTTTATGTTCTTTGATCGTAATCCCCGCTGTTTTGTGTTCTGTTGTGGTAGCACTTTGAATTTTTAATACCCGGTTCTAGTTCAGCACTCATGAATAATTTGTTTATTCAAATAAAAATCAGCCTAGCGTGCTTTATTAATCCTCTTACCAAATTTTGAAAGCATATTGAAAGTTTTGCTGCTAAATTACTCGTACTTAAGTGTGTAGTTTTATTGAATGAAATTGAAGATATGAAATATAATAATTACATTTGGTAAAAGATTGTGTATCCATGGGGACATGATTGGAAAGCTATTTACATTAGTTTAATTAACATATCTGGTCATGCATTGGCAAAAGAGATGATATGAGCCTTTGTAGGTACTAAATTCCCGTTAAGATAAATTTATATTATTAATACTATCAGGACAACTCGCTTAACAAAGGACAATTTTCCATAATATTGTTGTTTACACTAGCACACTTGATCTTATAGACCATAGCAATGAGATTAAAATGTTTATTTAAAACTCCTTGTCGATTATAATGTAAATGTTGTAGTTAATATTTTATCTCAGGTAACTTATATTTTTCCTTTGTTTCAACTTCATTAGCATACATTACCATAGCCAGAAACAAAAGAAAAATAAAAATTACCTGAGACAAAAAATTAAATACATCATAGAAACACATTAATTAGTTTCAGTTCTATAAATGCTTACACTTTTGTATTTTAGTTTTTAATTTTCTCAGATATCAAATTGTGATGTTTTGCATTTTAAATACTTATTGTAGTTTGTTGTTTTATGTTGCAGTCAGGTTTGTCATTGTATTCAAGAACTGATCTCCACGAGCCAGCAAAGGATGGCGTCTTGCCTGTAGTCCAACCAGTTAGCGGTAAGCAATAGTACCAGTACTTTTAAGGTCAAGAGTGAATGATAGTATTGGTAATGAGACATTTTTTTTTGTTTTTAACCTTTCGCCAGGTTTTTTTCATTATTATTAAAGATTTTTAAAACAGTTGGAAAAAAATGAATAAAATAAAAAAAAAATAAAACATAACATATAATGACAGAAAGCCGAGGAAACGGAGCATTAATGCTAGTAATATCACTACATCATTACTACGTTAAGCAAAATCACAATGTACAACACAGCTACATCGCTATACACTAACACTAAAATATGCTAAACGCTAGACACTGGGCAAGTGCCACCTGAAGAAACAAATAAGAAAAAGCTGCGTTGGTGGAAGTTGTTGTGAAGTGTGGTGATAGCTAAAGTTCCATTAACGGTGGGAGAAGTTCCCATTTTTTATTGTGGAAGTGGAGTCTGTTATTTTTATTCACAATGAACTGTCGATTTTGTATGTATTTTTGCATTTTGCTAATTAAAGGCTAGTCAAGAAAGATGATTTACTTAACTTTGAATGAAAAATCAGATATTTACTCTCGAGAATAATATAATTAACAAAAATGCTGTCCTCGTTATCCGAGCAAAAATGGCCAAATAAAATATCTTAAATATCGAAGTTGGTAAAAACTAGGTCTTGCGACTTAAGAAAGGTATTAATGTTAATGTTAATGGTGGTAATGAGACATGCTCAGAACAAACTGTAAGAAGTCTTGAGCTCATAGAAAAACCCTAATCACCAGATTTAACCTTTTAAGTTCCAAGATCCACATACAAATTCTCCAGACTGATCTCCATACATTTCCTCCAAGAATTAGTTGAGAGACTTTGGTAAAAGATCAAAGCATTTTCTCTTTTTTGACCATTTTCTTAGTTCTCATAACCTTTTCTCTTACTTGTGAGGTGATCATTGTTGGGAGAAAAATTACGTTGATCACTCTTGGGACTGAAAGAGTTAAAATTCAAACTTCTTTATTGATAAACTTGTTGGTTTTACATACAGGGACAACCACGGGTTCTGCTAAAGGCTCTAAATTTTTCCCAGACCTTTCCGCAGCCAGGCAGAAGGCTCAGAGGAGGTGAGTTACTATGTACTTTTTGACTGAGTGGGAGGGCAGGACTGGAAAATACTTGGCTTGACAGGTCCAATCTTTGAATCAGAAAACACTATTGAAACGTTGTTTGTGGCAAATTACTTCATCCCCCATACTATGGTGCCCTCAGCTCTCCGCAGATTTTAGGTTTACAAAAAAAGGTCAAGGGTTTGCTTATAGTGGGAAGTGCACTTGGCGTATCCAACTAGTTTTTAGGCTGTCCACTCATGTAAATAATACTGGGTTAAGCCACTTTAAACTTGGGAGGACCAAGAACAAATCTAGCAAGTGGTCAGAGTGGGACTTCAACCCAGGACTGCCTGATTGCAAGTCCAAGGCGGTGACCACTCGGCCACCCTGCCTCCTTATCTCTCTAGGAGATAAGCATTAGCTCTTTGTATACTTCTCTCTCTATAAAGGCTGGATTAGATGCCATTTGCTTATAAAGGTGTTCTTTTGGTGAGGCAATGTTAGGGTGGTATGTTGTAACTGAACAAAAGGCAGAGTTTTTCTAGGCTATAGTTGTTTTGTACTACAGCAGCATGCAAAGAAAGTAGTGTGCTATCGGGCTAGTAAATTGTATTCTTTGCTTGCCTGATAGGCAAGTGTAGTTTTTTGAGGAATTCAAATTACGGAAGAACTATGAAATCAATCTGCTCATCAAAACATTTTTGGGGCTAGTTGAAATGATGTTTGGGCTAGTAAATGTTAGCTTCAGCTTGCCTGAATGGCAAGCTGTAAAAATGACTTTCTTTGCACCCTGAGTACAGCCTGCTTCCATTCAGCAAATTTAACCTTTAAGATAGTTTTTATGATGAGATTGTGTGGGTAGCATGAAAGGTGAGTGAGTTAAAACTGAGAAGTTTGTTCTGGGACCTTTCTGATCTTTTCTAGAGTCTCGCATGAAATTTCACAAGGTCCAAAGTCTACTTCCCAAATCTGGAAGTGTGCTGTGATTGGTCTACGTTTTTTAACCACTTGTTTCAGCTGACGTTCGTTGGGAAGGATTGCGTGACAAGCCAAAAGAATATCTGTAAGGGAGGCTATAATACAACCTACAAAGGGATTGCTATAAGAGTTGGCACAATAAACCTGAGCCTTGCGAAATCTTTGAGTCTCTGCCTCCGGAGCTGACACTGCAACACAAAGGAAATAAACCTTGACTACTTTGAAATTTTGTTGCAGGTTAAATGCAGGATTGAAGGAGTCAATTCATGAGAGCAATCGGAAGTCAGCACTCTTTGCAGAAGCAAAGGCTGACAGACGGTTAAACCTTACATTTCCTCCTGCTGGCAGCTCTCACCAGATGGCTGGTACTGTCAATCATGGTAGACAGAGTTATGCATTTGGTGGTTGGTCTGATAGCCCTGTAAGTATTTTTGCTTTTTCCAGTAATTAATCCTTTAAGCCCCAATACTGACCAACATCAATTCTCTCCTAATAATATCAATACTTTAACAAGAGAAAAGGTTATGAGAAGTCATGAAGTGATCACCAAAAGGAAAATGCTTTGACCTTTTAATAAATTCTCTCATCTACATGTGATTTTTAAGGAAATGTATGGAGATCAGTCTAGAGAATCTGAACAAAGTTTTATAGTGGAAGGCTCCACGTAGAGGTCCAACCACTTACCCTTTTATATACCATTTTTGAAAGAAATGGTACCTCTTTTCTAGGCCCTCTATTGAAAAGTGGTGTACAGTCAAATCCCATTAATATCGACACGCGAATAGCATAGAAAAAGCGTGGCGTAGCTCCCCCCCCCCCCCCCCTTAATAAATCCTGAATATTTAACTGATGAAGTGAATCACCTTAATCAGTAGAATATTAATTTCTTTTACAGTACTTAACAATGTAGAAAATGAAATTTACCCTCAAAACTCTTAAGGAACAAACCGCTGTAATATTGCGTGGACTAATTTGGCCTAATGTTTGATTGTAGTCAGCAGGAGTGGAGAATCTTCGCAACAGTCACGGTACAAGTATGAATCCATTTGGATACAGTAGACGCACCTTAGCATTCCAACCCACATCTCTTAATTATGTCGTGGAATGGCCTGAAACATGGCCTCTGAAGATCATGTAAGTTTTTAATGTGCAATATAATTTACTCTTACCATAGTTAGGGGAAATTCAAACACTAAGTAGTGTGAAGAGCCCATCATCAGAAATTTGCTGACGTCAATGGCCCACTAGTGTGGTTGGTCAACATCCAGTTTCATTCTGGAATGTATGATCAAGCGTGTTTTAGCAGTAAAAACAATAGTCACCTAGGGCATATGGACATGATTGACCTGCCAATTCTAGCATCGCGGTGATCAAAACTCCTCTCGTAGGATGGCTGCATTGCCAAGCAGGCCTGACAAATAGAATGAAGAAGTCATCAACTACAGAATGTACTAGTGTACCGCTAAATTCTACTGATTGACATCTAATTTCTTCTCTCACCTAATTTCTACAAATGAGCAAGCTTGGTGGTCATGAGGGATCTATTCGTAAAATAGCCAACTAGTTTGCCTACTACCAGTTGGGTTTTTTTTAACCATGTTATGTTCTATTTAAATTATTTGTTTCATTAAGATTTATCCCTGAAAATCGCCATAATCCCCAACTTTTTTGTGTGTGCTCATTTGATGTGCTGCCTAGTAACTCACATAACAATGTAAGCAATTTTAATGATGAAGGGTTATTTATTTAGCACTAACCAAAACATTCATCTGGAGTAGCATCAGTTATGAAAGTAGTCAGCATTTTAGTTATTTCCTGACTAATTTCTAATGATCAACATATCATTTCTCCTAACAAAATCAACACTTTGTCAAAACAGGCAGCTGGTGAGAAAAAAATAGTTCAATATGTATTTACTTGTCGTTGTTATTCCAGGAGTATTGGAAGAGGGACTGGAAGATTACACAAGAAGAAAACAAAGCCTAAGTATGTGCTGATGAGTATTTACTATGGCTGAAAAAATATTTTGTCATTTTGTCGCTGCATTTTCATGTTAGTCATGTTTTTGGTCTGTTGCCAGTGTGCACAATTTTGGTCACAAACAAGGCTGGTGGTGTTGATGCAGACATGTCCAGGTGCTATTCCCTTTCTACATGTGTGGCACGTTTGATTTTTAAAGCATAAACCAGTCCAACTTGTATTTCAGTTTTTGAGAACTGTCTCATTTTTTTGGGTGTAATATTGTTAGGTGTGGTTGTGACACAAGGTGATAGAATAAGGGTTGTAACAAGACCTTTAGTTACACCTGCACTCACACACATCCGTAAATTTAACTCTCCATTTCTCATTGCATGTGTTTTACTTACTGCAGGCCGCAACATATCCGTAAAGTGCATTTTGAGAACTCTCCGGCACCTCGTTCATCACCAGAGGAAGAGAAAAATTACTACAGTAAAATATCTGCAGCTGCAGGCATGGCAACACCTTCTCAAAACCAGTCCGTTCAGGTTTTACCGGATAGGCAAACTCCTGTGACAAGCTTATCAACTGATATGACTATACCACAGTCACCTGATATCAAAAATATCAAACAAGAAAAACAGGATGAACATGTTCCTCAAAGCAATGAAGGGGTTGTTGATACTGTCACAGCTGGTAATTTGCTTGAGGTTGGAGACATAAACAGCACTGAGTACACAAGAGTGTTTTCAGACACAAGTTCATTGTCTGAAAGTGTTTATGTTAGAGAGGATAACAGCAAGGTGGGTAATCTTTTCCCTGCACCTTGCTTATTATCAGAGGTAAAATTAACACAAAACGTTGTGTTATATATCATAATAAATCCGGACACAGAGAAGTGGCTGGCAGGTCAAAGCATTAGCTATTGTAACCTCAAAAGCTAGACGTACTATTTTGTACAGCATACAAATAGTACCACTGGAAAGCACTGCTTTGTAGCTTTCATTTGAATGGTCACACTTTAGGATTTCATCCACAGACTCAAAAGTTAGAACCACCTTGTACAGCATAATAAACACTACCACAGGAAAGTACTGCTCAGTAGCTTTCATTTGAATGGTCACACTTTAGGATTTCATCCACAGACTCAAAAGTTAAAACCACCTTGTACCGCATAATAAACAGTACCACAGGAAAGAACTGCGTAGTAGCTCTCATTTAAATGGTCACACTTTCGGATTTCATCCACAGACTCAAAAGTTAGAACCACCTATCTAACAGCGTAATACTGAACAGTACTTTAGGAAAGCACTGCTAATAAAGGTCTTTGTGATCTGTTATTAAGTTTATTATTCAGAGAATAAAAAATTGTGACATTGCATATGGTGACTGTAAAAATAGCATTAGAAATTAATGTAGATAGCCTTAAAAAAGACGTTATTTTATTTCTGTTTTCTCTCTGATTTAATGAACAGAAAACTGAAATACCAGATGAAACAGAGACCCAACAGGCTGATAACACAAGGAAAAGTTCCAGTGTTCCCCCGTGTACGCCTACCCCTGAAGGTGTGGAAAATGCACCCAACTGCGGGGAGAGTGAGGGTCAGGATTTACAACAACCTGAAGAAGATGGTGGTGATGACGACTCCAAAAGTGTGTTGATGGAGATCGTGTCACAGATAGCTGCAGAGCCTGGGGCAGATTATATGCAGGACATCTGACAGCTTCAGCTACGTGACCTGAGGGATCTATGTTTGGAGTGCATCCGCTGGCCTGAAACAAAGCAGGAACCTTGTTCATGTATGAGAAGTGCATCCTTCACTGATAAGTTTTGACTTGCTTGTTTGACGAAGTTAATTTTTCAAAAGTACTCTTGTTTTGGTAATATCCCATTACTCTGACTACTGACAGGTAATCTAAATGTGGCATTGTTAGACTCTTGTATCCCGTACCTCACTCTGCGTACGTGTCCGGTGTCCAACACTAAATTATTTTTTTAATCCAAGTTCTGTCTCACTTTGAAACCATAAGTTTAGCCAGGAAATTCAGTGTGGGTATCTGCCTCAAATCTTGAGCCAGTAAAATGAGTAATTCTTCAACCAAGTGTTTTTCTAAAAAAAAATCTGGGCACTCACAGGACACCCAGCTGACTGAAACCGTAAGGGGAGCGTAAAATAGCAAAGAGTTGTAATGCAGGCTATGGGAATGTTAGATAAGACAATGTCACATGTTTAGATTTGTTATATTACTTCTGGACGCACCTTTGGGGTCAGATAAAATAAAATAGCTAAAAAGATAAAGGTTGTCAATTCGGTTTTTAAGTTTTTATTTTCCATAGAAAATATTTTATAAATATCATATTTATGAACAAAGATGAAAATTTTAAGCTGCTCCTTACCAACATTCTCATGTGGAAAAGAGTGTTTATAAAAAAAAATGGAATATAGCTAACCTGAGATCAGGCTCTATTTTCGTTTCGCTTTGTAAATAACATCCCGGCGGGCATTGCAAAATGAAAGCGGTAGCCGTTTAGAGAGAATGTACGAGAACTGCTCAAATTGGGCCTGATCTCAGGTTAGAATATAGCAGTATGTGTATCATAGAGAAAACATATATATTTGCTTTTCTCACAAATTTGTCATAAGAATGAAGTGCTTTTTATTGCAGTTACACAGTGGAGTATTTTGTAGCAGCTTATCTGTCTGGAGTTTAAGACAAAAACTCAGAAAAGTAAGACTGATATCTTCATGCTTGAAATATCAGGAAAGAAATGTTTGAGTTGTTGGTGTATACCCCGATTTACTTATAGCTACAAAAACACACGGTGTAACATAATTTGTTTTTCATTGATTTAGAACTATTTTATTTTTTATTCTGTGATAAATTGTGATCTTTAGTTTGGGTGCAATTGAAAGACTGAGTATGAGTTAACAAACTAAGTTTGTGTCCATTAGGTAAGTGTATGTTCAGAAAAGGACAAAAATTATAATTGTCCGTACATGTTTACATCCTTCAAAGAACAATACTTTAAGAAACGTCTATGTCACAATCATGCAGTAATGGCAAAGAAATTTACAAGAAAGAGTGATGCACATAAGAGTTTTTGTGCGGCTTATTAGGCAAATACAAAATAAGACCGACCTAATGGAGGTTTTGTAAGCCCACAAGACTGGGCAACCTCCCCAAACCCTTGTTTTCACTAAAACCGCTGGACACAAAACCTCCCCTGGGTTGATGTTACATTGTCATAACCGGCTAATTATACCTGTTGTTTTTTAATTTTTTTTTTTGTTGCTGTTGCCTTAGTGACATTTCAAACTTTCTATTGGTAGCAATAGAATGACACTTGTACTCATGCTTCAATCTAAAGATCACTAAGGACAAATAATTTCAAAGATGTTGTGGAGTCTTCATTCATGCTTTGTGATTCAGGTTGCGTAGCAAAAAGCGATTAATTAACAACATGTGGAGGGGATAAATTTTGGAATAATAATCTTTATGTTTTGAGTGGCAAAAGTTATACCTTCCAGTAGAACTGGAAAGAATCTTTTGGACAAAATAATGTTCTAATAATATTTCTGTTCAGTTAGTATTAATTAGCAACACGACAGATGATAAATTTTTGGTGTAAATTTTAATGCAGTTTTATTTAGATTTACATTGTGTTCTGTTCTTTAGCTTTTTGGTTGGCTTTGCCATGGAAATTTAAAAGATAATGATCCAAGCATCTTCTTTTGCTTTTGGATAGATTGCTTTTGAAGGAATCCTCATTTTCTCAAGCTCTATTTATCCCCTCAACTGTTTTTGCCATTTACAGGTGTTGTCATGCATTTTAGAGTTGCATGACCACCATAATATGACCATGTTACTATTATTTCATGGTTGTGTACTGCTTAAAATCTCTTAAAATGTACCTTAATGGACATTGTGGGAGACTTCATGGTATTTAATACCTAGCTCTGGGTTTGAATTTTGTTTGAGCTCAATAACATTTCAAATATTCAGATTAATTTTATTAAGAGAGGAAGACTTTATCATATTTGTAAAAAGCATTCAAGTTAAAGTTTATTATTCCAGATTAGGTCACAGAATTGCGATTATGCCTTTATTAAATTGCTGTAAAGTTGTTGAAATAAAGTTCAGAAGAAGATGCATCCAGTTTTGTTTATAGCAAAAGTTCCTGACAGTCCAAGATTTGCCTTCTGCTTCATGTACCTGAAGCCTGAAAAAGATACCCCGTTCGGGCGGAAGTTCCCCGTATAAGCCATCGTAGGGAGTACCTCCCACCCCGGGAGGAAACACAGAATCCTGGGAAAGCAGCCGACATCTCGCGATGCCACCACTGCTTTCCCCGGGAAATGACGTCTGAGGAAATACTTCAGAAATTCCATACTGATGACGTGTCACTACTCGTGACCTGAGGGATGTATGTTTGGAGTGCATCCGCTGGCCTGAAACAAAGCAGGAACCTTGTTCATGTATGAGAAGTGCATCCTTCACTGATAAGTTTTGACTTGCTTGTTTGACGAAGTTAGTTTTTCAAAAGTACTCTTGTTTTGGTAATATCCTATTTCTCTGACTACTGACAGGTAATCTAAATGTGGCATTGCTAGACTCTTGTATCCCGTACCCACCTCACTCTTTGTGTACTGTATCCAACACTAAATTATTTTTTTAATCCAACTGTCTCACTTTGAAACCATGGGTTTAGCCAGGAAAGTCAGTGTGGGTATCCACATCAAATCTTAAGCCAGTAAAATGAGTAATTCTTCAAAAAAAAAACTGGGCGCTCACAGGACACCCAGCTGACTGAAACCTTGGGGGGAACGTAAAATACCAAAGAGTTGTAATGCAGGCTATGGCAATGTTAGATTTAAGCAATAGGAAACGTTTTCCGTGTTTGCATAGCCTGATATAAACACGAGAGGAATTGGGAGAATTCGAGACAGTTATGCAAAACTGAGACGAAGTCAAGGGTTTGCATAACTGTCGAGAATTCTCCCAATGCCTCGAGTGTTTGTATCAGGCTATGAAAACACAGGAAAAAAGTTTTCTATTGCTTTTATAAAATAAATTTCCCGCAAAAAAACCCAAACTCTTTGTATGGCACTGATTAAAAGAGAAATTCTTACCAGTCGCAAAGTCTTGTCCACGAAGTCTTGCACGCGTAATCAGTTCTTGTTTTGCCAAAAAATGCTTTCCAAAATACCAACTTTTCTCGCTTAAAATGTCAGCTTAAGCGAAAAAAAATTGACACACTTTCTTTGTAACGATTTTCCAAGTTTCAGCCGGCGAAGGAAACTTGTCGAGTTTTGAACTTGAAAACTTTTTCAAATTTGTGCGTGTGTGATTAGGACGCGAAAAGCAAAACATCTTGATGTCACAACCTTGTTTACATACTCTCATGCAAACACTCCTCTCAGCCAATCAGAGTGCACATACTATCTTATTTATTTTATAAAAGACAATGTCACATGTTTGGATTTGTTATATTACTTCTGGACACGCCTTTGGGGTCAGATAAAATAAAATAGCTCGAAAGATCAAGGTTGTCAATTCTGTTTTAAAGTTTTTATTTTCCATAGAAAATATTATGTAAATATCATATTTATGAACAAAGATGAAAATTTTAAGCTGCTCCTTACCAACATTCTCATGTGGAAAAGAGTGTTTATAAAAAAAACTGGAATATAGCTAACCTGAGATCAGGCTCTATTTTCGTTTTGCTTTGTAAATAACATTCCGTCGGGCATTGCAAAACGAAAGCGGTAGCCGTTTAGAGAGAATTTATGAGAACCGCTCAAATTGGGCCTGATCTCAGGTTAGAATATAGCAGTATGTGTATCATAGAGAAAACATATATATTTGCTTTTCTCACAAATTTGTCATAAGAATGAAGTGTTTTTTATCGCAGTTACACAGTGGAGTATTTTGTAGCAGCTTATCTGTCTGGAGTTTAAGACAAAAACTCTGAAAACTAAGACTGATATCTTCATCCTTGAAGTATCAGGAAAAAAATCTTTCAGTTGTTGGTGTATACCCTGATTTACTTCTAGCTACAAAACTACATGGTGTAACATAATTTGTTTTTTATTGATTTAGTTCTGTTTTATTTTTTATTCTGTGATAAATTGTGATCTTTAGTTTGGATGCAAGTGAAAGACTGAGTATGAGTTCACAAACTGAGTGTGCGTCCATTAGGTTAATGCTTGTCACACCACTATTATCCCATAAGTCTCTTTTTGCCTAAGCATAAGTTCACAAAAGGGCGAAAATTGTTATTGTCCCTACATATTTACATCCGTCATAGAGCACTGCTTAAAGAAAAGTCTATGTCATAATCTTGCCATAACAGCAAAGAAATTTACAAAAAAGAGTGATCCACATACAGAGGTTTTGTGTGGCTTGTTGTACCTTTGTACTTTAATGTTTTTTTTTTTGCTGTTGCCATAGTGACAGTTCAACCTTTCTGTTGGTAGTAACAGAATGGCACTTGTACTCATTCTTCAATCTAAAGATCACTAAGGACAAATAAGTTCAAAGAGGTTGTGGAGTCCTCATTCATGCTTTTTAATTCAGGTTGCGTAGCAAAAAGTGATTTTAACAATAACAAATTAACAACATGTTGAGGGGATAAATTTTCGAATAATAATCTTTAAGTTTTGAGTGGCAAAAGTTATACCTTCCAGTATAACTGGAAAGAATATCTTTTGGACAAAATAATGTCCTAATAATATTTCTGATCATTCAGTATCAATTAGCAACACGACAGACTATAAACTTTTGGTATAAATTTTGATGCAGTTTTATTTAAGATTTATTTACATTGTGTTCTGTTCTCTAGCTTTTTGGTTGGCTTTGTCATGGAAATTTAAAAAAATAATGATCCAAGCATCGTCTTTTGCTTATGGATTGATTGCTTTTAAACGAATCTTCATTTCCTCAAGCTCTATTTATCCCCTCAGCTTCTTTGCCATTTACAGGTGTTGTCACGCATTTTAGCGTTGCATGACCACCGTAATATCACCATTTAACAAGTACTTCATGGTTATGTACTGCTTAAAGTCTCTTAAAATGTACCTTAACAGACATTTTGGGAGACTTCATGGTATTTAATACCTTGCTCTGGGTTTTAATTTTGTTTGAGCTCATTAAAATTTTAGGTATTCAGATCAATTTTATTAAGAGAGAAAAACTTTATGATATTTGTAAAAAGCAATCAAGTTAAAGTTTATTATTCCAGATTAGGCCACAGAATTGAGATTATGCCTTTATTATTGCTGTAAAGTTGTTGAAATAAAGTTCAGAAGAAGATGCATCCAGCTTTTTGTTTAGTAAAAGTGCCTGAGACCCTGAGAGAGTTGCCTTTTGCTTCATCAATGAAAAGGGGCATGAGTCACCAAAGATCCTCATAAGCAACGTTTAAGAAAAGAGACATCAAGGCTGAAGTTGCTGATGATTTCAGTGGAGGACAAACAACCCCCGGGGGGAGGGGGGTACTCAACAAATGTTTATACGGGGAGGCTCCGCCCCGAGGTCCAACCCCTTACCTTTTCTATGCCATTTGTCACGAAAAAAAGTACTCCTTCCGTATACCTTCTATTGACAAGTGGTACCCCTTCCACATGCCTTGTTTAGAACTTTTCATCCCTCTTAACTGCTGCAAATGCACTGTCTTTTACGAAATAGGAATCAATCGCAAAAGTAGAACATTTTCTCGACGTCATAAAACCATAAAATTCTTCTGTTAGCCCTTTGGGGCCCTTTTACAGACTCAAATGACAGATTTTTTCCTACCCTTTATATACTTCAAGTAGTGAAATCCCTACCCTTTCATGTACCTGAAGTCTGAAAAAGATACCCCGTTCGGGCGGAAGCTCCCCGTATAAGCCATCGTAGGGAGTACCTCCCACCCCGGGAGGAAACACAGAATCCTGGGAAAGCAGCCGACATCTCGCGATGCCACCACTGCTTTCCCCTGGAAATAACGTCTGAGGATAGACTTCTGGCCCAGGTTGTTCAAACGTTGGATAGCGCTATCCACCGGATAAATCACTATCCAGTGGATAGCATAATTGATTTCTGTAATACTTATCCGCTGGATAGTGAGTTATTCGGTGGATAGCGCTATCTAACTTTTGAACAACCGGGGCCAGAAATTCCATACTGATGACGTGTCACTACTCACACCTGGGCAGTGCTTCTGATTGGATGAGGCAATTTTTCAACCAATCAGAAGCACTACCCAGGTTTGGTTATTGACGCGTCTTGTAATTGTTTGTCTTTTTCCTCAGTTAAAATTGATAAGTTTAGCCGTGGCTAATTTAAAAAAACAGTTTTTTGATGTTATTAATTAGAGAGATTAAGAGTTACGTTTACGGCAATCCGTGGATTTGTAGCACGTGACCAAGTGTTCCCTTTACTTCTCTTTTGCTGTTAATTAAATGCACAAAAAATTATTAGCTTCAAGTTAGTTTTATCCGTAAGAATTGCTTTGAGCTGTTTTCACTTTATCTGCATATTTTCTGTTTTGAGAAATTCTCAACTTGAATCTGCAGACGTTTGCCGTTAGCGTGACTCTAAATCTCTCTAATAGCTTCTAATATTTTGTGAGAAAAAATGATTAAAATGAAAACACGCTTTTTTACCAAACGCCCCATCCAGGACAGCTATTAAATAACGCACTTCTTTCTTTAGGGAAATCCAGATAGATACACGCTACTTCAGCAGCTGTGTTGACATCAAACTTTCAGCGCATCCCTGTAAAGAAAGTAACAATTGATACATTAATTAATCTTTCATTTCAAAACAGGTCAAAGCGTTAAATTTTAGGATGCCATGGCTGTCTCGGTTTCCATTAACGAGGTTTCAATAGTTTTGCATCTAACATGATAAAACTACCAGTTATTGAAACAGAATGGAGTACTTTACTAGCCAGGACCCTCGCTCTTATTCTTTATATTTCGATATTTCGATTTGCATACCGTATTTATTCGATTAACCGCCCTGGGCGCTTATTAAATTTTTGGACCTTGAGAGTGGGCGCTTATTCGAAGTGGGCGCTTATTCGAAGTGGGCGCTTATTCGAGGCTGGGCGCTTATTAAATTTTCACCATTTTCAGCAAGTGTAGTATGTTTATTTTACA